GGCAACCTTTTCCTGCAATTGGCATGGGCTAAGGGGCGGGCAGGGATGGACAGGGATGGGTTAAGGCCACGCTGGTTAGCCAACTTTCAAACGAGAGCTAGTCGTGTGAAACAAAAGCGGGGCCATGCGACCTGCAGCTTGATTTGGTAACACATATTTGACACATGTCCGGGCAACAATGCCCCAGCAAGGAGGTCAAACTGAGACTTTAAATTTTGAATAAGAACTGTATAAGGTACAATAAGTTTAAAAACAATTGGGAGTGAGCTAAAAAAATTAATGATATTTTACAGGACTTTTGAATATAGCTGTTTTAAATATTTTGGAACTATAAATACCATTGAGTACTGTAAATAAACAATTTAGGCGACAAACATTTTTCCAAGCTTTGTATTATTTAAAAAAAAATTATCTTCTTGCAAGGATTTTCTTCGCAAAATATATAATTTAGCTTTATAGTAACTTAATAAAGAAACCAAAACCAATTATTCCTTTTTTTTTAAGTTGTCAATTATTTTCACAAAAAAGGTCTTACAGCCCAATGCTCTAGTAAAGAACTAAACAGATGCATTAAATTTTTGATAAGATATATTTAAAGCATCTGTTTGGTCTCCTTAAGTTTAAAAATAAATGGGAGTTGGCTAAGACTAAACCATATGAAATTGCTGAATAAAATCTTAAAAACCTCAGTGTGAAATTTTAGTATATGCACTTATTCCAGAATTACTATATTAGTTAAATTAAACTGTGTCTTGACAGTTTTGTTTTCTTTATTTACAAAAAAAAAAAAAAATGACAATACATTTCAGTAAAATTTTTTTTTTTAAATTTAAAGTTAAATATTTAGTTGAAACCAATATTAACGTTCTTAATATTTACAACAACTTATTTATTGCGGACTCTGAATATTAGCTTCTTTTTAACGGCTTATTATTACGTGTGATCTTTCCTTATTTGCTAATAAAGCACAAATCCATATATTTTACTCCCCTCGATCTTTCTCAGTTGCAGAAACATGCACATTTAGCTGCCTTGGTTGCCGCTTCTCTCAATTCACTTCAATACGCTTGACATTTTTATTAAAAGCTTTAAGTTGTTACTGCAGCGAATGTTCACGCACACATGCTTGCACATAAATGTCAGGCAGCCAGAAAGGATATTTGCTGCAATGGCAACGGCTGCTGGCAACTTATTGGCTGCAGGACACACAAACGCATTTCTCTTTTCCTGTCTAATGCAACAATGTAATAATGCCAGTCCATACTATGGCAACTTTAAGTTTCCCCGTCAGTTCTAAGTCATTTTTCTATCCCGCTGGGATTTCCTTATGACACTAAAACTGGAATGCAAGCTGGCATCATTTATTTCGCAGGATTCCCAGAAGCAGAAGCAGAAGTAGAAATTGCATTGCGTGACATTTTATGAAAACTCATTTGACAAATGATTGCGAGCAATTGAATCGGCTGGGGGGATGCACTTAAAGCGATTCGCGATTTGGGCTAATGACAATACACAGCCCGGTCGTCGCTCCCTCAATAACTCGGCATGTGCCCCATTTAAATATGCCAAACACATGTCGTATGCGCAATATTCGCAATGCTAGTTTGTCTGCGGGAATTTTCGCTTTCGCACACATAATTTTCGTGCATAATTTGGAAGGATTTCAACTGGGTCGGATCCTGCGGCAAACAGATTTGAAATGCACAAAACGTTTATGTGATGGGTATGTGAATGCCTGGCACCCCTGTTCACCCCGTTTCAATGCACCTACCCACACTTTCCCATATGTACCCATGTATCTTCTTTACACTAAGAGAAATTATGTTCTTTCAAAATATGCAAAAACTATAAGTATGTAAGTATAAACATATTGGGGCATATTGGTGGGCATTCTGATTTAAAATTAAATTATTAAAAGGTTTAATCATAGTAGGTTGTTGGCAAAGACCATTGCATTCCAAAACAATTCCGAACTCAATAGTTACTTTAAATCACTCATGAGCTTGCCTTATTTTTAAGGTAATACATTTTTTAATTTTATGATTTTATAAAATTTTTCAATTGCATTGCATTAATAGTAGCGCGATTGCTAAAAAGGAATAGCTATCTTTCAAAACGAGCTAAGATTCGATCAATAATTTGCCACAGAATCACTCATTACACATTGATGCTTTAAAAATAATTCAGATATTCAAATAATTTTTTATGCAATGAAAAAAAGGAAATCCTAAAAAACAGTTGGATATCCAGATTTTAATGGGTGGTATATTGCGTACTGTTTAGACACAACTTTCTATGTAAACCTGGTGATATTATATGTCTTATGATATAGCTTTGATATAAGATCAAACTTACATGATATATATAGTTTTTGTTTATAAAATCTTCATTTGTTTTCTCTGAGTGTACACACACAGCCGATGCTTGTTCATAATGGGCATAAACATTCTCGCATCCGTTGCCGTTGATTTGGTCGCCTTTGCTTTGTCTTCCAGCTGTT